AACTTTTTCGAAACCTAGATATACTTATTGCATATGATAGTATAGTAGGTAACTATTATATATTTAGATTTGTTAGTATGTATTAAGCATCTATTGCATATATGTACTATTACGCTTGTTGTACACAATTGCAGACATTTTATGTTCACCTAAAATGTAATTTCACACGTGTAACTCATGGACAAGCATGCTTCATTTGTTACTATTGAAACGAATGCTTGTTATTATGTGAACAGTTTTTGTAGTTCTTCTGGGTAATTTTTAAGATTGATATAATTTTACGTTAATCCTTCTCTTACATTCTACCTTCATTCTGTACTCATACGGTCTTACCTTACGATTACATACACTGATTTATGCTTACAGATTTATTTTAACTATAAATCTACCTTATCCTGTTACGTTACAGTTTTCCTATTAAACCTTAAATTATGTTGCACGCTATACGAGATTTATCACTTGACTCAAGCAGTGCTACGAACCTCATATATATCAATACGCCACCTAAAAAATCAGCATTTATTATTTTCCGGTTTGATGTCAGATACTGAATGCCTCCATATCTTCTCCAGTTGGATGCACTCTATACATTGATTAAATTTATTATTGCAATCACGTATTTAAGGTGCTGGTTCACATTTAGCAAATAAATCTGGTATTACATGATGATCATCAGTATACAGATATTTATTAAACAAACGCTCTGTTGTATTATTAACACTGATTTCGAAAATTCTAATCATTAATTTTCCTTCAATTACCAAATGTAGAAGTAGATTTAGTTTCGAGTTGTACTATTATTCACCTGCAAAATCATTAGTAAAATAGCGAAAATCAAAATGCATGGATGCGAGACGAAATACAGAATTGGAGGATATCAAACGAATAGAATTTGTAGAAAATGCACACTTGTTCTGGATTATTCATACCAGAGTTAAGCAGTTGATCAGTTTCAACACATTCCAGCGATACACCAGCATGCAATGAGTCCGTCAGCAAAAGGCTAACAAATAGAAAAACCGCACCCGAAAAAACATTCTTTACCTATGGAAAAGTTTTACTGTTATATTATATATATTTAATCAATATACAACAGTAAATCATGATTTCATTTGATGTGTAAAATGATGAAATATAGTAAACATGCTTTAACAGTCATCAATGTAACGCTGATTTGCTTCAAAATTTGATTTCATAATGAAGACTGATCAGACATTTTGAAAGTATGATATTATTGAATTTAGAGATTGTCTAAGCGCGATAGATATTATTATAAATAAATAAATTTCTGTATACAATATATGAAGATTTCAAATACAAAAGTCTGCCACAGTATCGCAGAGCAATTTTAACTTTTGGTGCTTGAAATTCTACATCCTAGCACCCTTTCCTTACAATACCCAATTCAGTAGGTTATTCCAATTAAAATACCAGCACCAAAACTTGCCGTCAAAACAGCATTGCACTTGATAAATTTTTGTATCTGTCATAATTAGTCAGAGAAAATTGAGTAAGGGCTCAGGCATTTATTGTAATAACATTATAACTAGGCATGCAGGCTACTTTCACCATGTCCAATTCAGAAAGAATACATCATTTATAGCATACTTTTGTTTTCATTTCTTCCATTGCTTGAGAAGAACTTATTTCTTGATTATTTGTTGCTTCCTTAAGCCGATCAGCTGCCCTCTGAAGATCAGTGTTAACACGACCCCAGTTAATTTTGATGTATCCTCGATCCGATGCAATCTAGTTTTATAGAAGGCCAAAAAATGTGTAATAGAGCTGCAAGAAACAGAAATCTATAAACGCTTTATGAATTAGTCATCATAATTACTACCTTTAAAGCCAGCAATCCGCCCCCAAGCGTCGTCGCGGCTAGTATTCCAACCCGCTTGCAAACGTGTCCAATGCACCTGAAGAACGTTCAAAAATTGATTAACAATGCAACGTCAAAATGAAGTGATTTATTCCTTATTAACTACAGTAGAGATGTCGCGTTATTCTTAGAGAGAACAGTAGTAAAAGCCTTCTTGTTTCGCCTATGTAAGGCTGTATCATTTAGCTGTAATCGTTGGTCCACCATCAACTTTCAGGTCATTTCAAATTGCCCATGTACGCTGTACAGTTCAGAACAATACAGTTACTACACTACAGTACAGTACAGTAAATGCGACGGAAAGCTGATTTTGAGTATTTGCTCTTAGTATTGGATAGAATCAGGAAATGCTCCACTACCGGACACAATATTATAAATGCTAATGCATCCATTCAACGTTAATCTGTGGTGAATCTGCATTTGTCCTTGTCCTATCATTAATTCGAAATGATCATGCTAGAACGTCATTCTTACCATCCAGATACACCGCCAACAGCAACTTGAGATCCAACTGAACCGATGTTGATGGTACTGATGGCATAATCATCATCGTTGGAATCCGCTGGCACAATTTCTGACATGGCTGATGAGCAATCACCTACCTACTTAGTCAATAGTCGATTTTGAGTTCAACACTATAGATGACTTTATAAAACGCACAGTCTGTAGAATCGTGAGTAGTAGAGAAGTAGATCTTTTGGTTAGAATTTCGACAGAAAATGTTCGCTATCAGTCCTTGATGCTCATTAAAACTAGGATCGGAGAATGAAGCCAGGTTGGCATTTGACAGGTTACTCTACTGTACAGTGTACAGTACATCGTACGGTACAACGAACAGTACAACAATACAATGTACTGTACAGTACCGTACTGTACTGTATACTGTACAGTAGTACCGTACAGAACAGTACTGTACTGTACTGTACTGTACTGTACAGTACAGAACGGTGCTGTGCAGTGTGCAGTACTGTACTGTACGTCTGCGGGAGCACAGAGAAGAGAACGAAGTCAAACTATTTAGTAGCAATCAGTCGGCTAACGATTTTACTTACCATTTCTTTCTTCCATTCATTCTATGCGTAGAATGAATCTATACGCTCTTCTGCCTGGCGTATTGATTTTGTACAGTACGTTACAGTGAAATGACCAGCAAAATGATCACCTTCTCCTTGGACGAGAGTCGCATCTAGAATTCTTATTCATCAATGACGTTAAGATGACGTCAGTCTCTCAGAAGTGACGTCATGTATCACCTCTACTACTACCGTAGCGCCCATCATGATTTAAATACTGTACAGTACAGTACTGGTAATACAATGTACAGTACAAAGCACTGTATGTGGGGTCCTTTTCAATTTGGCATTTTTGAACTGCCCCACAAAGGTACAAAATATTTTATACCAGGGACTATTGTATTAAGCTTTCACAACAAATACAGTATGTACAGTATCATGGACTACAAGAAATAGTTCAAGACAGTGCGTAACTTTTTAGCATTTAGTCCATGTTATGGTAGGCTGTGCAACTATCAACCATGGAAGCATCTTAGCTTTAGGACTAAATAACATTTTTTTGGTAGACGAGGTAGGCTGCTGCAAGTCGCTCATGACTTAAAATTATTGTACTGTACTGTACTGTACAGCATACGCGTATGCACTTATTCATTTTTTTCACACACGTTTCGTCAATCGCATGCAATGCAAATAAGTTGGTCAGATGCAGCAACAGATTAACTCTCTAAAGCTGCCTCAATGGCAAATTGTCAAATTAACTTCTACTGGTTATGAAACCGTCGGAGATTTATTATCATCGACGCCATTAGAGCTAAGCCAAGGTTAGAAAACTGCATAGTTAACATCGTTCGCATATAATGGCTAAGTGTACTACCTTAATGTACAACAGCATACAGTAGAGCATCATGTATGTAATTGTGTTGTTGTCTAATACACGCATACGAGTATAGCAAACACATCATTTGCATCGATAGCAAAGCCGTAACGATGCACTTACTATGGGGGCTAGTCTTTACTATTTCCCCTAATTTATAAAAGAATTGCATACTTGATAAGTTAGACATGTACAACGACAGATTATGGTTGCCACTTTTGATGTAATTAATCTCGTAGATACCGGAATCAGTCATACAGATGCAGTACAAATGATCCAAGTAGCTCGTAATGCAACGCAAATTTCTCAGCAATTAGACGATGCCTTAATCCCAGTTCAACAACTACTAGAAAATGAGCAAAACCTTAATCCTATAGTCACATTTTGTGCAAAGTTAGATCAAGCTCTCGGTGGTGGTATACCTCTAGGAAAGATTACAGAGTTTTGTGGGCCCCCTGGCATTGGTAAAACACAACTATGGTAAGCAAAGGAATGAATTTGTCATCATAATATAATTATAATAGGCATAAAAGCAGTAATAATAATTATAATTGTAATGATTTCTCCTTTTTTTACTATGTTACCTATAAGTCTAATTACAGGCTGTCTGTCATTGAATAGAATCATGTATAGTAGTACACTTAACATTGCAAAATTACTTGCCTAATAAATTAATAAATCGATATGATACATCCACTGCGTTGAACGACCATTTTCTAGCATGCAATTGGCTGTCAGTGCTCAAATTATGGAAGAATGTGGCGGATGTAATGGATCCGTCATTTACATTGGTAAGTTACATTCGTTATTCAATACGATTCAGAAAGATGTACTTCCCCATCAATATGACTTTAGTTTAGACGTAATATCGCCTCAAGTTGATCGAGATGGCTTAATATACGTATATATGATACTTATAAATCAAGCAAATTGTAAATATTAATCGGTAGATACCGAGGGCAGTTTTTTGCCAGAAAGATTGTATGACATAGCCAAAGCTACCGTAGGCTATCTAAATGCCACCGTTGAGAAAAATGATGATAAAGGTAAGACTCCTTATTGATTTGTATTAAAGAAGCGAGACAAAATATTAAAGGTCATAAAGGTTATGGGCAGGTTTATATTCTTACTCTTATTTTCAAGATGGGTATAAAAACAAGGATATTTGTCTTCATAAATATATATATATATATATATATATACATTAGAATCAGCGTCAAAACTATCAACTTTTACTCCTGAATTTATCATGGAGCATATCTACTGTTTCCGCTGTCTGAACTATTTGGAAGTAATAGCAACTGTAAACATTTTAGAAGATTTTATTCAAGAAAGAAGTAGAAAGGTATGACTTGATAGCGAGAATAGAATAATCAAAGTTTAAGATGAATGTCATAACCCTGCCTGGAGAATTACAAAGTCTGTAGTGTATCAACTATACTAGGTCCGATTAATTATTGTGGATAGTATCGCTTCTCCCTTTCGTTACTCTTTCGATGACTTGGTAATGAGAACAAGAGTATTAAATGGAATTGCACAACAACTGATTCGCATCGCAACAGATCACGAACTGGCGGTAAGAGTTTTCATCATTAATTTAAGATTGATCTATTGACAACCCCCTTTTATACTTCTAAATTATTCGATATCTTATATAGGTTGTACTAACCAATCATATTACGATGAGATTCAATTCCAACTCTGATTCAAGTCAGTTGTTACCAGCTTTAGGTACAAAGTATAATGCAGGCAATAAGTACTAAATTAAGTAACAATTTCACTCATTAATTGATCATATAACACATAGGAGAGACTTGGGGTCACACGTGTGCAAATCGTACCATCCTATTTATGGAAAACGGCGTCAGGTAAATTCTACTTGAATAAAATGTACCTTCATTAGCACTAATATAGAGTATATTGTAATTTATCTTGGCGTAGATACGCTCGCTTATATAAATCACCGCAGAAGCAAAATGCCACCGTGTCTTTTCAGATCAAGGTTAATATCATGATAGGAAGTACAATCATTGAAATATATTAAGTTGACAATTGTTCTCACTGACCCTTATCATTACTTTACGATTTTAGACCAGTGGAATACGAGATGCCGCTCCAAATATTTCAGAATTAAGTTCTTTTGAGACTGGAAATAGTGCCAAAAAACTTAAACTTTCATAATTTCAATGCGCACGATAATCGTATATCTTTATTTGTGAATTTATCGAACTAAGTTAATGATTAATTGTTATGGTAGTAACTATATTCATATAAACAGATGGTCGTTTCATGCAGTTTTAAAATCTATTATACGCATGTCCTATGCACAGACCTTTAAGTCTCGATAAAGTGTCTTTCGATGTTTGTCTAGTTAAAGATGGAACGACAACACTTTATTTGCATCGCAATTTGCTCGACGCCAATATTTTTGATAAAATCATTGCTTGTAAAGAATCCATTGTACAATTGCAACTGATGCATGTTGTTCATAATTTATAAGATTAGCCTTAATATATAGAATAGGGTATAGATATGGTTGACTGCGTCTTCTGTCTGGCGATTAAAGTCAATACAACTTCAACAACCAATTGTAGAGTGCAATGTATCAATGAACTTTATTGAAATTAAAAATATTTTTCGGCCAGCATGAATTGGGGTATTTTTCTTCAGAGTTAAAAAAAATAGAGCAGCAATAAATTAAATTTAATGACTAATCCCTAAAAAGGATTTTAGCGGAGAAATGCTAAAGCATAGTGCGGTTACGTTGAACACTAATGAAAATAGCAGACACGAGTAGACTGTAATGGTGACATAGTTACTGAAATCTATAAAAAAGTTAGACCTTCATAGTAGTAAATATAATTAACCATAAATTATCACAAACATTGCTATATTCGGCGAATATAATCGTAAGAATGAATGCTTAGGCTTCGTAAGTTAATAATGATCAACGTACTTTACCTTAATAATGCAGTTAGTGTGAAGTTATAATCAGGCGTATCAAATATCGAGCAGATTAAGATAATGAAGACACCACGTTAAATGGTAATAACATGAATATGACAGCTATAGTTATGCAGGGGCTACGTCAAAAGTGTAAAAGTGCAAAGTAATGTCGTTATTATTTGCTAAATCTGTTGCCGTAAGCAGATCTAGCAGATGGATAGTTGCTACAGCGGATTGCTCACATCACGGATTTGATATATAGGATAAGAATATATACGGCGATATATGTATGTACGCATACGCTTAAGATATCAAACTAACGCAAATACCCAGTATGAGATCGATTACTGGATCAAGAATAAAATATATCATTCTATGCACATTGGTATTATTAATTTAACACTTGGTTGACAAATTAATGAATAGATTAAATTGAAAATCTAGATTCTCGTATGATAAACAAATAGATAAGGATAAATAAATGATAGCTTTGTTGCCTAATTGATTACACATTTGGAATATACAGAAAATAAATAAATAAAATAGAACTCGGATTTCGATTATAATTGACGTATTATCTAACTGAACTATAGTAAATTAGACACAGGTCGCATATCATCTTTTTCTAAATTCTAGAGTATAAGCACGGTATTACGGTACGAAATATCATTGTAGTTTACGTAACAAAAATAAAATCATATTTTTCCAATGCTATGGAAACAAATGCACCTATCATTAAATACGCAAATGCGATTTGTCAAATGCATTGACTTAGTAAATTATCTAAGATGTAATCGATCTAATACTATCAACTAATTTACTTAATTGCGAATTACGTGAAGCCCGTTAATATAATTAGCGATAGCAGGACCGTTATAAATTCCTGGTGTAGTGTTTGCCAAAGCTGCTAACTCTTTCATATAAGTTGCCTTCGAGTAATCAATATATGGTATCTGATGACCAAAACGTGCCACTGAATTAATGTTGGTATTATATGGATATGCAGTTGTCATGGTAGTTACTAATGGAACTGCCGATTTATACGGATATCCTGAAAATACTACTCCTTCATAACCATTCGAACTTCGTAATTGACCTTCTTGAACATTTTGCCCAAGGGGATAATCTCCAAGAGGACTTTCTCGGCCAGTGGCTTTTTCTTGTTTCCTCCATTTAGCGCGGCGATTTTGAAACCACACCTATTTGATATTTGGAATTCCATTCATGCCATTAACAATTAATGGTCGAGACAGCGATGAGTAATATCACATTCATAGACTAACAATCGTCGTCTATGATATTAAAATCATAATTATCTTACTTGAACTCTAGCCTCCGTTAGTTCTAATCGCATAGCTAAGTCTTCACGTGAAAAGACGTCAGGGTATTGTGTTTTTTCGAATGCTCGTTCAAGCTGATGAAGTTGTAAGGTAGTAAAGGTAGTTCGACTTCTCCTAAGCTTCTTCGATTTTCTGTTATTACCCTTTGAACGCATCGTAGTTGTACTTTCATCGATGCCATCACCACTAGACTTACTACTATCTAAAACAGAAAATGGACAACGAATGTCAATTGTATTGAATTATGGGTAGAAACAAGATCATCCTTTTCTGTATTCTCCTGTAAATCTTATAATATGTTATCGCTTGATATTTACTTGCTACTTTACTTTACAAGAGACGATATTACTTATCGGAATAATATGTATGATAAAGGATTAATATGAGACGAGACAGTAGTACAAATACGTAATATAATCAAGCAATAGTAATATAGGTACAAATAATTAATAGGTAAGAATATTCACATGAGAATTCAGTTGTAGCGGTACTTTACAAGGAAATTAATGATACACATAGAACATCGTTGTATGATAATACAGAGTCTAATATTATTGCTAAAGAAGTTTAAAATGTTTTAATAATGTAACAGGGATGATTAATCATTTTAATTATTAATATGAACTTTGGCATTTGCTACTTTTATCTGTCGTAATTATCAAAACAAGAAGCTGCATTAGTCTTTTTTAACATCTCAATATGCATAGTTACGGCTAAATGCTACATTATTTCTTCAAAGCATGTATTTAAAAGTAATTTAGATTTTATTAGCATTTATTGATATCAGTAAGAACTCAACAACTAGATACTTGGGTTTTAAGGAATAAGTACGCTCGCATTATTGAACGAATACAACACGAAATAATGCTTCCTAGCGACGCAGAATACGATGATCTTCAATATCTACCATTGCAACTTATTATAAATATTTTCTATCTAGAATAGCCATCTCATCATGAAAAAACTAATATTGGAAATATATGGCGGATAATCCTGCAGTCTGTAATACATGCTATTCTAATTCTCAGTCAAAGGCAAATTGTTTTTCTTAATGATTCAACTAGAATAGGTCGCTGTCCCCCTTGTCAAGTCATAACCACTTCTATTACCTAAACTATGTACTGTAGATTGTGCAGTTACACGTACACCTGGTCGCAACAAATTTAGAGTATAAAATAATATTGTTGACTGCTCCGGTATTTTACTCAGTATGTTTGCAATACTGTCAACTATGCTTTTTCAAATTCAGCAACAGAAAATTTTCTCTATTGCTGACATCTAGTGTTGAAAGTAGTTACAAATTGAGATGCTATAAAATCAAATAATTACGTTTTCTATACGCCAAGGAAGGAGAAATTTTTATCTTAATTGGATTTACAGAGATTAGGAAGAAATATTCATGCGAATGCGATAGCAAGTAGAATTGATAATATCCCATAATCAGCATTCATCACTACTATCCTAACGCAATTTATACTAATGGCGAGCAATTTAAGGCTATTATGTAGAAAGTGTTAATTATTTCAGTAAAAAATATATTGCGTCATTTAATAAGCAATAAAAAGTTCAAATTTATTGCATTTTTGCTTAATCGTTATACTACTGCAGCTAAGGTCACCATAGGATTATGTTACCAGAAATAGTGACTAAGTAATTATATAACGGCAGTAGATCATCACTTTAAATGAAATACAAGATGCCTCTCTAGGATTTCATATGCTAAATTAACATCAACAGATTGTTACTAAAGTAAATTGAATAAAATACTTAGCAAATGAGTATTTGTAGATCCATACTATTAATATAGAGCAAACTTGTTACGATTGCAATTAATATGCTAATATGCGAATTTCAATATAAAATAGGATACTTGTAGTATTAGCTCACCTCTAGATATGACTACAGTAAAGCGGAAAAAGCTGTTTTTATTACCTGGACTATTGGCATATCCTACAGCATTAAAAAGTTGGCCATCTTTTACTTTTCCATCTGTTTCGCTGTCACTTAATAGTAAATCGATAGTATAGCCTTTGGATGATTTTTGACGATGATTTTTTGGACCCATGTCGATGAAAATATGGCAAAGTTTCTTAAAAACCAGTAAGATTTCTATAAAGGAAAAACAAAATAGGAATTGAATTAATCAAATCAAGTACCATACTCTGATAAAAAATAAGACTTAGGACATACATAGAAAGGTAATCGCTATGAAAACAGAGGTATGAGCGGGAAATGTAGATATAGTATCTAACTGCAACAAGTTGGTGTTATTACAGGATCACTTTGTAAAGGTCAATTGTGGTAAATTGGATTAGATTGGAAACAGATAGAGGCGGAATTAAATTGCTTATAATGAAAACGTTTTTTTCTTTAAGCTTAGATAATGTCGTTAATTAGTCTATCCATAACTGATAGGCACAATTCAGTTAGCAACCGTAAAATAATAATTCAATCAGAGTAATATTTACAATATTTGGTTTGTGTTTGATCTTTAGTTAGTCATTGATAGGTAGGAGAAAGGGAGACAGTTTTGGATTGTTAATTATTATTTACGTCAATTATATTCAATCACCTGGTGATTTTTTCTCTCTATCTAATTTAGGTTATCGTAGAACAAAGTCCAGCTAATACACCCATTCCTTATTTCCATCAAGTGGAAACCTGCCGAGATGGCGCCAGCTAGGAAAGTAGTTAATTACCTGAAATTATTTTTTCAAGGCTAACCAACAATGGTATCATTTAGAATCTCCGAATAGATTGGCAGGGGGGTTCAGTTTTTAAATGTTTTACTGGTTGAAATCATTAAATCATCAAGAATATGAAATGGTCCGACTACAGATAAAGGAGAATGATCAAATAAGTGAACGTTTACTCAAGCATTTTCTTATTTTTGGATTTACTTTAACCATTACTTAAGAATATTACAATGAAAGTTATGTAGCCTAATCACTTTATGAACAATTTTCACTTTAAAAATGGTCAAGTCAAATGGATAATATATTCGTTAACTATACTATGATCAATCTTGATACTGTCGTAGTTAGATAAAAATAAATGAGACCAGTCTCTCTTGTTGGTGGGAACATGCCCAACTGTAGTAAAAGTATTAAATCAAATTTTAAGAGCTGTATAGTAATGTATAATGATGCTTGTTTGTGATGAAAACGCATTATTCTTCATTGCCTTTCTAATAATAAAATTAATTATTATTGCGCACAGCTACTTCATGTATTCAATGTATTGGCATTAAAATACTTTGAACAAATGAAATTTATAACAAAAGGTAGTCTTAACAGCAGTGGAAAGTTTTTAAGAGCAAGAATCACCTGGGTTGGTGATCATGACGCCATTATCTAGGATGCTATTATTGATTATTGTCTATTAACTTCAATGGATTATCATGGAAAAGCGCGATTAAAAAGTTATCAGAATGAACATTTATTCATCTAGATTACACTAATATAACATTACTAATCATGGATTGATTCATTATGAATCAATACCTTATTCTCTAGGGTCAACAATAGCTTCAACTTTTGTTCTCTATCTCTTAATTGATGTCGTTTTTCTTTAATTTTACGATCATTAATTTGATGATTCAAAATTTGCGTTCTTGATAGGGTTAATTAATTGACCGAAAATAAAGATTAAATCATTAAACTTTATAATATTTGTATTACCTTCCTATAGTACAGTATTTCAATCGATAATTATAAGAATCATAGATGACTAGTAAATATATATAATCTTATTGAATATGATTGACTGCGAAGTAGAATTTAGTTTTTGAAAATTATCATGTAAGGCATGATTTTGAATAAGTTATTTTCCTTTAATCGCATCAGGCTTTATGACCACAGGAAAGAAAACTATTGCAAATTCCATTAGAATTAAATGTATACTTTAATTGCATAATGTAAAATTGTATTATATAGAAACTTTTTCCCCATCGATTAAATTAATAGTAGAAACTATTTAATTTGATTATTAATAATGAACGTTTTCAAAATTTATACCGCTAATCATAATCTAATGGAAAAAATAGCAATTTCTATCTAGGAGAGTGTAACTCAATTGATATTAATAAACGAAGAGAATTCTTTAAATCATAAATTATCCAGATTATCACAAAATGCATTGCAGTCATAGCTTAAAGATAAAAAGGGAAAATATGAGCGGATGTGAACTCATTTAATGTTCTTATCCATTCTTTTATTATGCATCATTATACGCTAAGTAAGGTATAAATTGAATCCGATAGTAGATTTTAAAGACTTGAACAAGAATAAATTAATTTATACAGTTATTCCAGTAAATGCTGCTGAATATTCATTAATCGAGATTATTCAATAAGCAAATTATCATTAATTTTTATAGGGATAGGATATGTTAGCTGAAATATTAATTCTTACCAGTGCAGGAAACGGTAGTGATTTACATTGATTTTAATGAATGACTTTGTTCATGATTAAAGAACAAGGTGTTCCCTGATTAAAGTTTTCTTTTTCTGTAGGATATATGAAAGCTGCTACTACTACTAAGTGCCACATTGTTTATTTTCCCTTGAACGTATATTATCATGTTGAATGGGAGTCAATTCAAAATTTTCTCCATCGGTAGATAAATTAATGTAGAAATGTTACAGTAATATTAGGCTGAAAAAAAGCTAAAGCAATAATTCTGCAATAACTTGGTTATAAAATTATAATAGTATAGGGTATATATTACAGTATTACTTGATAAGCTGTTCATTCTATTCTAATCTGATTGTTACAAGTATTACAACGGGATAGGGAACTTGTCAGATTAGTAGATAATTCATAATCGTGTACATTAAATTGTTATTATTGCTATTGAGTGGCAAATCTAGAAAATCAGAATATTAAGTAAACGTGTTTAACTAGCTGCAATACTAAGATTAAAATTAAGATTTAAACAGAGTTATCTTCAAGACCTGCACGAGTATGTAACTGACCGACTATGATATCATTACTTCTGCTCCTTTAATTGTTTGATGATGTAATTGGCGACAGCTTATGACATGCGTTGCTTTAATTTTGAATCATTGGCATTATTTATTCTACACTATTTATTAAATCCCAAGAGACTTTAGAAGAGA